AAATCTTTCCGATCCAGTATCCAGATATGATTGTCGTCCAAATAAAATGATTGACTATTTTTTATAATTCTATGGTAATAATTGATAATTTACTTGTCAACATTTTATACACTATATATCTGGTAAATATCTGGTGAAATATTTTCATAATTTTTTAATTAAATCACAATCGACTTTGATAGCAATCAAATAGTAGCGCGCGGTTGATACAATATGGTTATAACATAATTATGTACATCTGTGCTTAGAATTATTTGCACTTTCCAAGCAATTTTCGGGAATTTTCTCCTTTTTACTTCCCTTTATTGCACTTGCACCCTTACTGCTCGCTGATTATAATCCTGACAGTCGCGCTCCCCGCCTTAGGGCTGTTGATAACATAATATTTAAAAAGCGCTTATCAATAGCTATAAAATTAGCTGTAATTACACCTATTGCTAAGTACTTATGATATCAACGGTTCTAAGACGGGGGGGGGGAGCGCGACTGTCAGGTCTATGGCCAATGGGTATGCGGCTGCAGTAAGAGAAAGATAAAAGAAAGTAAATGGGAGGGGGGGAGGGAATCGCCTGAAAAATGAAAATAATTCTGAGCACCGATGTACATGAATTGATACAAGAAAGAATGAAGTTAGAATCAAAATATTATAATAAAAATATTAAGGGCCAGAGCACAGACTTCTGCATAACGCATAATACACAACGCATAAGAGAATCAACCAATCAAAGTTCTTCATTTCTATCTTGAGGAAGGAAATGAAGAAAACTAATTGGTTTATTCTCTTATGCGTTATGTATTATGTGTTATGCAAAAACCTGTGCTTTTGCCCTAAAGATTAATAATGTTAAGTTCTCGTATTGTTAACGCGCCTTCGAGTTTCACATCAACAATGCTCAGTTATTTTTTTGCGTGCAGGAACAGGATGTGTTCGAAATCAAGTACATGTTGTGTTTAATGCTAAAGCGCCCTTTTACTAAAAAAACGACTGTATATTTTGATCGACCCGGTAACGAATATTGATCGCTTGCTGACAATTGCGCACGTTACTACACGCTTCGTCTCCTTGCTTACATTGCCAGAAAAATCACGAAACTGTACGTGTCGCTGATTGGAATCGCGGCAAAAACAACCTATCCGCGAGCCTAACCTCAGCAAGACTACATGGCCCAATAAGATCTTGCCACAATGATACAAACACCAGAGCTCTCGCGTTTGCCTTACCTTGACGAATATCAAATTAAGACCATATTTGGTTACAAATAAACTGTAATTCCTTTCGCTTCGAGAACGTTCTAGAACGCGAACTAGGTAAATCCTTAACACATATATATCCTAATATAAAGACATGTCGAGCAATCAGTACTTCTACCTTATAAGATAAAAGAATGAACTATGTTCACATGTACCTATTATTCATATCCTCGAATCCTTTTCCACGACTGTCTTTATCCCAGTCGTTGTATGCCTCCACACTGGATTTATTCCATTTGGGGCTGTCCATCCATCTCTCGCCCCCTCCGAACCTCATTCCCATCGCTTCGCTTGACAAGCCGACATATTTGTCTTTATTTTTCTTAGCCTTCTTCCTCTCCTCTCGGAGTTTATCATCATCTTGAATAAAATCAATCAATTCTCTGACTTTGTGTCTGATGTTTATACCTTGGTCCTTTCCAAATTCGTCAATGAAAGTATAATTCTCCAAGGATCTGAGATCGTAGATATGCTCGCGCGACGAAGTAACTACTCGTTCTGAACCATTTCGTACCAGGTAATTAAGGAGAAGCAATGACTATAAAGAAACATAATTATTAGAATCATGATTCAAATGGTTATTTTGAATAAATAATAATGCAACTTATGTACAGTGTATAGTTGCAAGGATATATATACCTTATATGTCCGTCGCCAATTCCGTTTGTTCTCTTGCAACATTCTTTTCCAGAGCATGGACATTACCTCTGGAAATTGCTCGTATGTAAATGTGGCTTGTGCCAGTTCTTGCATCATTGCCCCTATAAAGTATTTATCATTTATTTATTTATTAATAGTCTTGACTCAATAATTATATTCAAAATATTCAAAAAATTATTTATATAGCAAAAAATATTTCAATTTTTATTTAAATAAAGCATATGTGCAGAGCCTTGATGCTATTAATTATCACTAATCATACCTGTAGGACCCCATGCATCATCATTAGTTGCTTCTCGGACTTTGGCTTCTGTTTCTGTATAATTCATCACCACATTAGTCCTATAAGTTAAAATGAACAAATTAATTAATCTGTAAGTTTTCTATTAAATTAGTCATATTTAAATAATCTTATAAATTAAAAGTTTACACTATAATATATATATATATATATGCGTATGTGTGCATGTATAATGCATCTTATAAAATATACAGTTTGTCTTATTAAAGACCATATTAATGGTTGTCACTTGAAACTCGTCTCATGTATAGAAATATTCAGATATCAATTGAATATTAGATTTAATTTTTTCATTTGAATCATATAATATATATAGCATTACTAGTCCATTTTTCCGACTATACTTCCTGTACTATCATGCATTAATTTTTTTCTTCCTTTTTTCACCAAGTCCTAACTATATACCTGTTTCTTTTTAAGTGTACTGCAAATGCATATTAATCCTTCAAAGAAAAACAGATCATATATCCGCAATCACAATTTAATAGAAAAATTCATATCTTACTCCAAATTTAAATGCTCAATTTTTAAATCTTACTTGGGAAAAGAATTTCAAGTAACGGCTATTAATACATGCCTAAGAGACATAAAAAAGATAAAGTAACCAACATAAACTTGGAAATTAATCCCGTCGTTGTAAAATATACAATCGATGATCACACCGAAAACAGTTTTATCTCGCAGCATACGCCGTCGAATCTCAAGGTCGCGCTATAAAATTATCCACGCCGTTCCAGTTTTACGAGTCCCTCTCCCTCCTCCCTCTCTCACAGCCGCAGCCCAAGAAACTCGCTCACGCATCGGAACCGATTGCATACTCTCGTGCGCGCGAATGCACGATCGGCCGGACTTTCTATCGCATTCTCTCAATTAAACTTCTTGGATCTTGGTGATGACAAGAACATTCAACGAATATCGCAAGGCGTCCGCGAGATTCTTGGACATATTCGTGCAGAAGCAATGCATCGCATCGAAACGTGATCTCTGGTCCAGCGCGAAACGCATGAAATGCAGCAAATATGAGGCAGTATGCGTTCTGATCCAGGAAAAAGAACCGTTATGAGGTTATCTCGGCACTTGTTCGTGGTTACGTTGAAGTACATGCGCTCAGGATCAACTTACGCCTTGTCCATCAGCTCTCGCACTTTCCACATGTTCATCATCGTGATCGTTGCTCACGGATAGTGTTTTCTTCTTTTCCTCCGATACAATTTCTTATTTTCGTACAAACGATGGGACACTATCGGCAACAGCACGTTGAAAAACGGTCGCCAGATGTTTTTCCAAGCATTTGATAATATCGCGCGACAGACAGACGGACGAACAAAACGTCACGTTAGGCGGTAGTCATGTTATCCCTTCCACGTTTACACGCATCTAGTGCATCGTCGAAGGTGTCTTTTATCTTTGTCAATGGCACTGTACATACCATGCATGTTGATTAAAGTACGATTCATAGTGCACCCGACATTCAAGATACGATAATAAAGCCAGCGGCACACGGTGTTTGTTTTCGTGCTGGATTGCTTGCTGGAAACTATTACGTTTTGATTAGTACATTTTCGAAGATGGATGGAAATGCACCAATCAGAACGTAATATTTTCATCCAGCAAGCAATTTAGCACGAAAATAAGCACCGTGTGCCGTTGGCTTAAGAGATGTTCAATGATATCCAATAGGAAAATTCATTTTTTAGGGCCCCTAGTTAGTAATATTTGCTTCCAGAATTCTAATTATCCTATTGGTTATCGGATATCATATGTACAGAAGACTCTGGCCCATATTCAGAACGTGCTTATAACTATGTTAGCGCTCTGTTAACCAATGAAACCAATGAAAAGCCACGCAATATGCCTTCTGATTAGTTAACAGCGCACTAACATAGTTATAAGCACGTTCTGAATATGGGTCTCTATTAATGCAGTTTTTTAAACATAAGGGCCTTTATTCTCGAAAATTTATGAAAAATATTGTATACAATATTTCATCAATGGGACAATTTAATTGGCTGAGAATCGTGATATCTAGTGATATTCATGAAATATCGTATACGATATTTTTCAAGAATACAGGCTAGGGGCTATTTTCCAGCTATAACACGCTAAATTAAAGCCAGCGGCACACGGTGCTTGTTTTCGTGCTGGATTGCTTGCTGAATGAAAATACCGCGTTTTGATTGGTACATTTCCGAAGATGGATGGAAGTGCACCAATCAGAACGCAATAATTTTATCCAGTAAGCAGTTCAGTACCGCGATTCTGTAACTCGTTATTGGAGTTAACGACACTTTCGTTATCGTTGCGCAGTTTTTGTATACCGTAGAAAAGCTGCGCAACAATAACGAAACTGTCGTTAACTCCAATAACGAGTTACAGAATCGCACCACAGGGTAGCGATCATGAATCTTTCACATGAACTTTTTATTTTTCACTTTTCACTGTAAGTAATTTCACATGAAAAGTGAACTGTAAAAAAGTGAAAAGTAATATTTCTGTATATAGATAATTAACATATAAATATAATTACAGTATACAAAATGTAAAGTATATTAATTATGCAGTTGAAATTTATAGTTGTAATGTAATATAATAATATAATGTAAGTAAATATAATGACTGATTCAAACGTTAACCGTGAAATCTAAATTCTCAAAATGTGAAATATTTCATGTGAATTTTCAATTTGCTCATCTATCCTTCTTTACATGTAAGTTGTGTACGTTTCCATGAAAATTTTCAACCATCAAATGATGTGGTTAAAACTAGAGACCCTATAATCAGAGTCGCGCAACGACCGTAAAGCCCGTATCAGTCTATGGATTGGGATTGAGATTGGATTGAAATTTGACCAATTGGAAAAAAGAAAATAATCTCAAATATAATAAACTTAACCTAATTGGTTAAATTTCAATCCAATATTCAATCCCAATCCGTAGTCTGATACGGACTTTAAGGTTAGGTAAGCGCAGCCATGTTTCGTCAAACACATAGATATAGTCGTATAGCGGGACATTTAAGTTCCAAAATATTAGTGAAATAGCATATTTGCAAATGTTAATTTTTCATATAGTTTAAATGTTTTTTATTAATAACATGTCATATGTTACTATATTGACATACAATATTAACATAAAATTGTTACGCTGTTAACACAAAATATAAACAAAAAATGAAGAATTTGTTGCCCTAACAACGTACTCGAACTTTGCATAACAAAACGCTTCGTTCTGAATATAATAAAATATTATAAAAGGAAACATATTTGAAACAATATACTAACATTAAATAAATAATAAACTTAAGTTTTTCTTATATCGTATGCATCGCCATTGTTTTGCTATCGAAATGCTTCTTTGGTTCTTTTCGTTTTGTACACGAAATCTTACATCTAAATGTAGCATATTTATTATATATTTTCACCTGTAAATTGTGATAATTTGGTATAAAATTGCACTTTATGTAAGAAGTAAATAATTGTTCTAATTGCATTTTTACATTATATGTCACAATAGATTTTATTTGTTTCTGGTACTGCCTAAATATATGCTCCATTTGTAGAAACATATCCAATATCGCTTTATTAACGTGAAATAATGTGTTTTTTTTGTAACAACGTATTCGTACTAATTTATCATAATACAAAGTTTCGCCCTTAATATTACAAACTGAACGAATGCATTTCTTACATAACTGCGTATTTTTTTGTAGACTATGAATTATGTGCCCAGCTATGTTATATAAAATGTTCATTTCGATATTATTCAAGGTGGGAATTTCTGCTACACTGATATGTAATGTACTATCTATGTCAGAGCTCGGCAAAAAATGCACGCGACGGCCGATTTTCGACTATCTCCGCCCACCGCTGTTCCTTTTACCTCGCCACTCCGCATGCTGCCCACAAGCCGCTCGAGCCTCAGGAGCGTGTTTCCAACAGTTTTCCACGTCACCCATGAGGTACTATTGTTGACGCGTTTTTTTTTAAGTGGTATCCCCAGTAGGCCTAATCCACTGATGACTGTAACAACCCGTAACTAATTGAACAGAAGCGAAATAAAATATGTTAAATGAAGAATATTTAATTCGATTTTCGGCGTCTTTTATTAGTAAGAGCGGAAACGTCAATTTGCATATTGCATGTAGCGAGCCGCATAAGACGTGGTAAGGAATCGTCGTTTAAAGAAGAACGCTTCTCATTTTTTATAAACTTCATTTTCAAAAATTATAGATTATAGATTATAGAATTATAGATTAGGCCTACTGGGGGTACCACTTAAAAAAAAACGCGTCAACAATAGTACCTCATGAGTGACGTGGAAAACTGTTGGAAACACGCTCCTAAGGCTCGAGCGGCTTGTGGGCAGCATGCGGAGTGGCGAGGTAAAGAGAACAGCGGTGGGCGGAGATAGTCAAAAATCGGCCGTCGTGTGCATTTTTTGCCGAGCTCTGATCTATGTTATTATTACATGAAGGTGTTTCTTTCTTTGAAATAATAACATCTAAAAAGCCACTTAAGTAATTTGCGTCATCTTCTTCGTAGTTGCTTTCTGTAATATTCCGTATATACAATGAAATACAAATAAGTTTTAAATTATTCTTAAATTGTAAAGCGTTAGGGACAGGATTCTTTGATCTTATAACTGAAAATAAATTCTCAACACAGTCTTGAGTAAAACGAGCAGTATAAATAAATTGAAATGCTCTCTCTTCTAACAAAAACTGAGTAAGCTCTATAATGGATGTTGTGGCAATTATTATGCCTCTTTGCACGGGCTTAAATTGACCTTTACTACCAACTGTTAAGTGTTTAAAAAGATATATACATTCATGTAAAAAAGAAACATTTTCATTAAACTTATCTATATATAATTTTCCTAAAGCTACTGAACAGCATCTTGCTGTCATTAATGTGAACCATGTGGCAATTATCTTCACAAACCAAGCTGTTGCTATATATTGAGGAGCATTATTTTCATCTGCCAAAAATTCTAGAGCACTGCTTACGTCTGTACTTAAAACATTTTTTGCTCTATTCACACGCATTTTTGAAAACTGATTATCACATTGTAAATAAGATTTATGTAGTTTTGGCGTTAACAAAAACTCTAAGTCTTTTTGTTGCTCAAGTAATTCTACAAAGTGATCAAAATGCACTATATTTGTGGGCAACTTATATTTCTCTTGTAAGGTAGAAGGAATTTTAATGAACTTATTATTTATTAAACAAGCTTTTAAATTTTTAAGAAGATGCGATACATCAGGTACAATATATAATTGCCGCTGAGAATCACATGGATGCTGAAATTTATTTACTGTTGTTATGTACCGTCCTGCTGTTATTCCAAATTCTCGCCACAATGCAACATTAGCGGGTCCCATGTCGGACGTAATGTTATTAACGCGAAGACCAATGGATTCAGCTTTTTGAATTATCTGTAATATTATTGGTTTTAATACAGCTCCATTAAAACCATCTCCTATAAAATAATAGCCGACAATCTGTTTCCATCTAGAAGCCACGCCAGCTACCATAAATACTAAGGCATGCGTTGCTGTACCTGTATGATCAGGCAATGTAACATGCCCTATGAAGGAGTGTGTTGATGTGTCATACTTTGTCCCCGATACAATACTCATTTCGTCCATACTTAAAGAACATTCTTTATCTCTTTCATTTTCGAAATTCGGTATCTTAAGTTTTAGGAACTCAAATATTTCATCAGATATTCCGCTTGAAAATTTGAGACTTTGTAACCTATTTTGCAATGTTCTAATACTTGGTAATGGTATATTTTGTTTTCTTAATTCTTCATAACCACGTTCACCACAAGCAAATTTGAGACGTAATGCTTTTATAATTGTTTCGTTATCCCAATGTCTTGATCTTATAGAGTTTGTTAGCAAAGCACGCAATTGATCATTTGTGAACATTCGTTTCAGTTCCATTTTGTATAAATTGGTGTTGTTTTCTTTTTTCAATTTTCTAATACGATCTTTCGATTGTTTTAGTTTCCTTTTTAAAGCTTCATTGCTTTCTAATAGTTTTGTAGAATATATACATCTTTTGCACTTTCCTGATAATATTTGTTTGTCCCTCATCGATTCCTGACTGTAACTTGTTGATGGTAAGTTGTGTGTCTCCTGTGTAAAGAAAGTATATATACATACATGTACATATATAAAAAATAAATATAATATATAATATACACATAAGATTTCACTTATGTAAGAAATTATAAGAAACCATGCTCACTATTGTTTGTATGTTGGACGACTGATCTGAGTTACCTTCAGTAATGATAGTAGTATCATCAATGTTGCTTGTATTCAAATTAACTTCAGAATTCTCGATTATTTCAGGTTCAGGTTGTAATTGACAATTTTCATCAATGTCTAATTGTTTTTCAGTGAGGTTACCAAAATACCAAAAATTGTTGGAACCGCGTTATGCTTTAACCTTCGACGACCATCAGATGTAGTCTTCATCCACATTGCTGGTTCAAAATGGATCTATGCGAAATAATTAATACATCTTTATACATAATATTTTGTTTTATTTAAAACAAAATTAAATAAAAGTGATATCAAAAACTAACTTCGCACAAATACGAATTATTTGTTGGGTTCCAATATTTTCGCCCCACATTTGCTGCCCATTGTGTTCTGCGTTTTTCGTCACAAGGAAATACTTTCATTACATAACCTTTTGTAGCCGAATTATAACAATTTGGTGCACAACAACCTGGCATTTTGAATTGACACACATTTACACAGCCATAATCAGTAGCCACATGCAACTATTTTGGTATAGTTGTACTATAGCTATTAGTTTGACGAAACATGACCGCACCAATCAAACGCTGGGACGTCGTTGCGCGACTCTGATTATAGGGTCTCTAGTTAAAACGTGAAAAATGATACTATTTCTTCTAGTGACTTTAATCTCACTTGGTTATGCGATTGGTAAAAAAGAAACAACAACCCAGACAGCACACGGATGTCCATTGGACGTTCATTATATATCCATTTTTTTTATAAAAAACGTCCATAAGACGTATGTTTGTCACAACTTCGGACATAGGACGTCCAATGGACGTAGATCGGACGTCCTACAGGTCCGATGTCCAATAAGGACATCCTTGTTACGTTCAATTTATGTCCACGGACATAAATTGGACGTGAAACGTACATCCACTGGATGTCTGGTGTTGTCTGGGAATGTGGAACAGCGGAATGCTTGGATAGCTTGGATTATTTGTAAACGACCTGGATGGATTCTGAAGACTAATAGCAGAATTTGTGAGGTATTTTATATGAATAATAAAATACTGAAACATGTTTTCTGATGATATGTGTATCATGTATATTCTATTTTGTTGCAGTTGCATTTTGTTCCTGAGGATTATGTATACACAAGAGGAAATAAAAGTCGAAAGCTGAAAATATCTGCTTCCTTCATTGTAAGCAGAAGAAATTATAGATAATGAAAATCAATGTAATAACGTACGAAGATTTCGACAAACCCTACAATGTTTGAAAGATGTAACAAATATTTTCATTAGAAATGACATAAAGAAAGAGAATGATCATCTATACCATTGAAAAGCATTACCGTATGATCAAGAAAGCATTAGATTTTATGCCATATTATTTTGTGCTACAATATTATATATGTCTTTTGTCCCGAATAATGTTTTATTTTTTTTCAGAGCACTGCATCCTTTCAGTAGGCACAGGACTGCTCAGCAATAGAAAATACTCATAAAGAGGAAGATTTACAACAAAGTGTAAAATGTGTGAAAGTATACATAATGATATTATATGCATACACAATACTATCGAAGATGAATATATATCTTATTCAACTTCACCAACCACACTGTCATCACCATTTCCAGTGGTGATGAGTAAGATAAACGAATCATCAACTTTATTGCAAGAGAACATAACGGTAGAAAAAGAATTTGGCAATGATCATAATACTGATACCAGTGTTAAGGTAAAAGATGGGTTTTGCTCTACTGATAGGGAGACGGCCAGGGCCGTCGCCGCACTATACGAGATGGTGCGGTACCCCCGTATAGCCCTCACGACCACCGACCGCATGGCTTGGCACAGAAGCGCCTTGCCGCGGCCGGAGGCCATTAGCTGGGGCGCCGATATGGGCGCCCCGTAGAGGGCGATCGAGAGCACCACACTGACGTATAGGCGGCGAGCATGCCATCCGGGGCCTCCTAGGGTCTTCATCAGGCCGGCTAGTGCCAGGCCTGCCTTTCGGACCAGGGGCGCCAAGGCCTTGAAGTGGGCTTCGATTCCTACTGGCCATCCAACGTCAGGCCCAGATACTTGATCGTGGGCTCAACGCGGACGCGGACTTCACCCACCGAGACCTGGGTCACCGGTGGCGCCCCGCGGCGGCCGTTATGGAAAAAGACAGCCTCCTTCTTCAGGGGCGCTACCTTGAGTTCCACGTCCGCGATTATGCCCACCACGGAATGCAATGCCACCTCCGCTCGGAGGCGAGCTTCCCCTCGGTCCCTCCCCCCGGCTACCACTAACATTCATCCGCATAGCAGATGACGTGACAGCCGGAGGGAAGGAAAGAGCGCAACACCCGGTCAAACGTGATGTCCGATAGCTAGAGGCTGAGGACCGACCCCTGCGTGACACCACGCTCCATGGCGCGTCGACCCTGGACCCCGCCTCTCTTAAAGTAGGCGAGGTCCCTGTCCCTGAAATAGGCCGACAGGATGCGCCGGAGATAGGCGGGCACCCCGTGATACTCGAGGGCCCACCCGATCTCCGGCCAGGGTAGGATGTTGATGGCGTTGGTAATGTCCAGGGATACCGCTGACAACACCCCGCCCTCCCTCTCCACGACTACCCAGGTCAGGTCCCGGAGTCTCTGGATTGCGTCCAGTGTGGACCGTCCGAACTTGGACTTGTATTGGTGGTCGTGGAGGTTCGGCCCCTCCAGGGACAGATGCTGGACGAGGCGGTTGGCAATGATGCGTTCAAGCATCTTGCCCGCCTCGTCCAGCAGGCATATCGGCCTAAAAGTCGGCGCGCGACCGGGCACCTTGCTGTCCTTTGGGAGGACCAACTTGGTCCTCCTCCACTCTGGGGGGAATACCCCCTCCTTGAGGCACCCGCTGATAGAGTCCCGTGTGGCTGCGGACAGGCTCCTTTCGCCGAGGGCGAGAGCCCAGGAGCGGCCAGGAATGCCATCGGGACCAAGCGCTTTGCCTTTGGCCCCGAGTCTCTTCCTGGCCATGGCGAACTCCTTCGAAGAGACCTCCAGGCTCTCATTCCAGTCCCCCTCCCTCATCTCGGGAGCAGGGATCTGGAGGGGTCCCCTTCCACCTTCGGAAAGAGAGTGTCCAGGAGCCCTTCGAGGGCCTGAGGGTTAAGATGGGCTTGGTCGGTCGAATTAAGAAGGGCTTGGTCGCTCGATTAAGAAGGGCCTGAGGTCGATCGAAAGGAGCTCGTCGTGGGCAGGAAAAGACTCGGGGCCAAGGGGAAAGCTCCTGGCCCCGATGGCATTCTGGCCGCGCCTGGGCTCTCGCCCTCGGCGAAGGAAGCCTGTCCGAGGCCATGCGGGTTCTCATGAATAGGTGCCTCAGGGAGTGGAGGAGGGCCAGGTTGGTCCTCAACCTGAAAGAGGGCAAAGCGCCAGGCGGCGCGTCGACCTTTAGGCCGATATGCCTGCTGGATGAGGCAGGCAAGATGCTCGAGCGCATCATTGCCGACCACTTCTTCCAGCATCTGTCCTCGGAGGGACCGAACCTCCACGACCATCAATACGGGTTCAAGCCCGGACGATCTACGCTGGATGCCATCCAGCACGTCCGTGTCCTGACTCGTAGGGTCGTGGAGGAAGAGGGCAGGGTGTTGATGGCTGTGTCGTTGGACATCACCAACGCATTCAACACCCTGCCCTGGCCGGAGATTCGACGGGCGCTCGAGTATCATGGTCCGTCTATCTCCGGCGCATCCTATCGGCCTACTTCAGGGGCAGGGACCTCGCCTACTCGGAGAAAGGCGGGGTCTATGGTCGGCGTGCCATGGAGCGTGGTGTTCCGCAGGAGTTGGTCCTCGGCTGTGGAACATCACGTTCGACCGAGTGCTTCGCTCTCCCCTCCCCCTGGCTGCCACGTTATCTGCTATGCAGATGACACGTTAGTGGTAGCTGGGGGGCGGCGGAGGCGGCGCTGGAAGCGGAGGATCAGGCCTGATGGATCGGCGTGGATCAGCTCAAGGAGCCTGGCCCCCCTGGCGCCTCTGCTAGAGAGCCGGTGGTGGGGGGGGCCTGCGGAGGCGGCGCTGGAATCCGTGGTGGGCATCACCAAGGGCCTGGGACTGAAAGTGGCGCCCAAGAAGACGGAGGCCATGCATTTTCATGGTCCCCGTCGAGGGGTGCCACCGGAGTCCCGGGTCCTGGTGGATGGAGTCCACGTCCGCGTCGGGCCCACGATTAAGTATCTGGGCCTGACGTTGGACGGCCGCTGGAATTTCGAGGCCCATTACAAGAGCCTGGCCCCCCGGGTCTGTAAAGCAGGCCTGGCATTGGCCAACCTGATGAGAACCCAGGGGGCCCCGGATGGCACGCTCGCCGCCTCTATATCGGTGTGGTGCTCTCGATCGGCCTCTATGGGGCGTCATATGGGCGCCCCGACTTATGGCCACCGACCGCAACAAGAGTCGCCTGCAACAGGCGATGCGGTCGGTAGTCGTGAGGGCGATTTGGAGGTACCGCACCATCTCGTATAGGGCGGCGACGGCCCTGGCCAGCTCCCCCCCCGTGGAGCTCCTTGCCGAATCAAGACACACCCTCTGGAGGATGAAGGAGCTCCGCGAGGAGGGGAAGGTCCATCGACCAGAGACCTGAGGGCCTTGGAATCCCAGGCCAGATCCCGAGTCCTGGAACGGTGGTCAGCCATTTTGGCTGACCCCAAAGGATTCGGGATCCGAACGGTCGAGACCCTCCGCCCCAGAAATGGCAGACAAGCGGGGACGCGGGTTCACCTTCCATGTGGTGCAGGTGCTGACCGGGCATGGGTGATTTGGTCGGTATCTGCACCGGATTGGAAGGGAGCCCACCACGAGCTGTCACCACTGCCTGCAGCCGCAGGACACGGCGGAGTACATCCTGGCTATGTGCTAGGCTTGGGCTCCGCAAAGCCGTGTCCTCGCTCGGGCAGTGGGGTGTCAGGAGGGGGGGCCCTCTCGCTCTCGCACTTGCTCAAAACAATGAGCGAGGAGATTTGGGGAGCGGCGGCCTCCCTTTTGCCGGAACGCCATGTCTCGCAAGGAGGCCGCCGAGCAGGGAGGCCGACCACGAGTCCGTCGCAGGGAGCGACGGAGGGGGCGACGACCGAAGAGGAGAGGCCAGGCCGAAGGCGGGCTCGTTGGAGGCTGGCCCTTCGGCCGCCTCGGGCCCGCCTTCGACGTACCGATGGGGGTGGGTGAGAGGGGATAAGCCCTCTCGCCCACTCCAGGCGTCGGTGATGGCAGGGAGAAGGGAAGCAAGGACCGATTGGGGCGGGGTCTCGCAACTGCGCCCTCCCTACCCACCCAGTAGGGAAGAGGGAAGGCGGGGTAAGGAGAGAAGGCGGGTGCCCTCTCTCTCCTAATTAATATTGGCAGGCCAACCCGGCCGGGGCACCGCGCCCTTGACTTCCAATCTAGGAGGGGCGCAGTACTTGGGCGTGGATCTCCACGAGAGCCCTGGGGCCGGGGTGTCGGAAAGGGAAGGCAGGCGTAGTTCCCCTGAATCCCCCCACCACGGTACGAGCGGTAGGTACCCCGTAGGAGTTTAGTCGGTAGAAGTCTGACATAATCCCCGCCCTCGCCAAGGGGCGGGAGTATACATGAGGATTTCCCCTGCGTGACTAAAGAAAAAGAAACAAAAAAGCTGAGGTAATTCAGTCTCCATCACCCACGAATCAGGACACACAGGCTGAACCGGCAACGGTGGTAGCGATGGCCGCTACACTTGTGCCGGATCTACCTTCGGCGAATAGGCCGAAGGAGGTCTCCGAGACGAAGATAAATATGGAGGTCGAGGCTTTGGCCACCCTCCTGACGGAGGCGGGATTGGAGGAGGAGGGGGGTAGAGCGGGAAGCTCTTCTCAGGACACTCCCCTGCCCCAGGCTAATGGGATCGCCGGTGGGGCAGTAGCCACTGGAGGCTCCGCCATCGGGGCTCATCAGCCATGGTAGGAGTAGCTGGGGATGGGCCGACTTTGCTGAGGGAACACCCCTAACCGCGCCAGGTTGGGAAAGTCCTGACCCGGGGTGAGACCCCTGTTGCTGCCGAACATGGGGCAGCGGCGGAGGGAGCCCTGGGGAAGGAAGACCTGTCACCCGGGGAGCAGGTGCGGTAGGGTCCCTTTCGGTTTCTCATCGAGGACGGGGACTGGGGGTCCATTCGAGGGCCCCCACACACCTTAGAGGGCTACCTCCAAGCGAGGGAAGCCCTCAAGGCCGCCATTGCTGATGCGAAAAAGAGGGCCTGGAAGTAATTGGTGGACACCCTGGACGAAGATCCGTGAGGGCGCCCTTATAAACGGACAGTCGGTAAGATTCGTCCGTGGACGCCCCCACCAACGGAGTCGATGAACCACTCGAGGGGCTCCTAGATACCCTCTTCCCGAGGATGAATGGACTGCCCCCGGATCTCCGTTCCCGAGAGGGAAGACGGGGACTGGAATGAGGGCCTGATAGTCACTCCAAAGGAGTTCGCCAAGGTCAGGAAGAAGCTCGGGGCCAAGGGCAAAGCACCTGGC